TATATATATATATACTTACAGTGCACCGGAGCAAATAGTTGATGGCGATGAATAATGAATCACCCGTGCGACTTATACCTACATGTATACGTATGTACGTGCGGCAAACTTGACTTTAGAAAATGAAAGTCGTCCGGAAAACACACTCATACATATATTGTATACCTATATATGTATACACGTACGGGCACGGAAAGCAATTACCCGGCAACGCAGGAGCTCCATGATATGTATATATATACTCTCTGTTGTTCTTTTCCTCCGTATAATATACTTACCTGCGAATTTTATTTTTAAACATCGTTATGTAATTATGATGTACATGTATGTATACATGTGGGTACCGATTTAAATGTTACATGTGCGAAAGAAAAAAAAAAAACCATTGATACTCCGATGCATTATAACCAGCGATTTTTCGTTGTTAGAGGATAATTAATTTCATGACTACGAGGATTTGTATTTCGTAATCTTTGAGTAAAATGAAGAAAAAAGGGGGGTAAATGAGGTGGACGCGGACATGTGCATGTATAATTGAAAGCGCGTCGCTGGAATTTCTGGAGCAGCTCTTTTCGGGGCATCTTGGTTTCACCGGAAGTATAAGCAAGCGTCCACCTTGAAATAACAATTAACTTTCGTTGGCCATCGTGCACAGGTGCAACTACCCAAACATATATGTATACGGGTGAGATGAGAAAATTAGCCGATCCGATTGTTCTTGGTTTTCGCCAATTTATGGTTTTCCCTCGAGCTGTATACACACGCGTAACATGGAATGGATTAAATATTAACTGGTGCACGCTGTCGTTGCGTTAGGTCGCGGAAAAAAAAAAAGAGATAGGAAGCGAAACGAGGCTCGAGGCGAGTTTTGGAGTAAAAGAATGACACCGAGCTAGCCGGGGTACTTCCGCGTGACTCCTCCATCGGAGAGAGTGGCTTTATCGCCAGGGCGAGGTAAGCGCTCCCGTTTATCCGGTCCTGTCGATCGCTTCCGAAGCTCGAGCCCGGAAACTGCGATGGGAAAGGTATACACTCGTTTGGACCAGCTACCGATCTCGAGCCACCCGAGTATAAAAGTATAAACCACGGCGCGGGAGTACAACAGCCATCAGAGTCGCGCGCAATCGCATCATGTTGGGGAGCCTGGTGAGCGAGCTCTGGCACTTTTCATTGTCTTCCCGGAGACGTTATACCGATACCGATCTTTTTTTTTTCATATTTTTCGACTTCTCCAGAGTCGAGGGCTTTGGTCATTGATGAGCCGGGACGTGGCGATCATTAAATCGTTACTTGTAAACTCTTACAAGTAAAATCAGTGCGATTAAATTCAAATTGTTTCGCGAACAAGAAAATAAAACTTCACAAATTTCAAGAAAATGGTAACAATAACATTAACAAAAAAAAAAAAAAAAACGATGTTTCAGTTGATCCTGGCGCTGGGGTGCAGCCAAGCGCTAGCCGGCGATTCGGAAACATCGATCCAGCAGAAGCGAGGAATACTCAATGACGGCTGGGTGGGCCTGTCCGGGCCTTACGGGGGCTACGGACTCGGACATCCCGTTGCTGCTAGTCTGCCGCTGGACACCGCGGGGTAAACCCTACACTCTGTAGCGCAAAATAAAATTTTTAAAATGTCAAATCAAAAAAATGGTTCACAATTCATAGTCCAAATCGCTCCGTCATGTCGTAATTTTTTTTTTTTTCTTTTCGACTCGATGAAGCGATTTCAGCGATTTATATGAGAAAGGGCTTGGTGTGTATAATGTCCTGGTAGCATTTTGATACAATTTTCGGACCGATGTACATGTGAAACCATTATCCATCGACTCAATGAATAATCTGTATGTACTATGATGTCGCAGGTGGCAGTACGGCAAGGCGAGCGTGGGTCTGCCGATAAAACACGAGACGCACCACGTGAAGACGGTGCCCGTCGTCGTGACCAAGCACGTTGTCGTGGAGAAGCCGGTCGCCGTGCCCGTAGAAAAAGTCATTCCAGTGCCCATTGATAGGCCCATCGCGGTTCCCTACCCCCAGGTAAACAATTGCAATCCTGGATGCAGTCTCTTGGGCACAATTATTCCATACATTTTTTTTTCTTTTCTGAATAAAGGGCATTTTTTTTTTTTTTTGTTTTTTTATCCGTCATTATTTAGCATTGTCTATGTTGTACGAAGTGATTAAAAAAAAAAAAAAAAATTGATTTAGCATAAACGATTTTGGTAAAAAATTGAAAAAGTATCCGTACTCGATAAGTCTGTCATTGTGTACATTAATTTGGCCACACACTTAAAAGTAAACTAATTGCCTGTTCACGAAAGTATTTACGGATTTTCCAAACAGGTTTGTTCTCCGGCAAAAACGTTGGAATCTCATGACGGTAAACTTCCGTGCCTAGTATTTTTTGTTATCGTATTGCGGATACTTTTACTTGTTTTCGAAACAGTTGTTGTTTAATGGTTTACAATTTATATTACATTATGTAATTTAAAAAAAAAATACAGTATAGCATGACGTGGGTATATATTTAAAAAAAAAAAAAAATTTAATTGTTCCGAAATATTTTAAAAACTAAATTACATTTTTCAATAGAGTCGCAAATATGATTACAAAGTAACTAATTACATGAGGTTGATAATTTGAAAAATGAAGTTTTACGTTGATTGCTCTTATCATGAGGATTAAATGTTTTATCGATTTTTATTATATTTTGCCAAGAAAAACTTTTTAAAAGATGCATTTTTTCAAATACTGAATCTTCTGAAAAGAGAATAGAAAGAAAAAATATAAATTTTTTAATTACAGGCGGTACCAATTCACATCCAACACGTACAAACAGTACCAGTACCAATTGCGGTAATGTACCTTACTATGTGTCATAACTTTTTCAAACAATTACTAGGGAATCGAAACATTTTTTTGCGAATCATACAAATTTAAACCCTAAGACTCCTGCATGTGCCTCGTGGTACAATAATTGCCTGTGAAAAAATTTCCCGTGGCATGATTTTTACTTTTGCCCTAAAAAAATAATTTAAAAAATACAATTTGGTAAAAATTACGGTTTCGCTTTTTCAGTTGAATCACAGCTTAAAATCATTAAGTAAAAATGTTGGTTGGAAAAGTAATCGAAAGCGAAATAAAACAATCTTCAATTAAAAATTGGAAATACTGATAATTTTCAACTCTACGCTTGCATTCTCATTTTTCAGCTAATACATATTCATCAAACTTTATCCTAAGCTGTGCTAAAACTAAAAAAGGCAAACTATGCATAGAAAAAGTAATAAATTTTTTGCGTCTCTATACCGTTAGTCGAGCTAATCGTAGGTGTCACGAATCGCAAAAATGTTTACCGCATTTCCAATATCGATGTGATTACAATTTTCATTTTCATGTGAAAAAAAAATAAAAAAGGTGAAGCACCCCGTTGCCATACCGTATCCAGTGCCCATAAAGCAACCGGTACCGGTGTATCTACACCACGGACATCATCATCACGCTCACGCGGGCGCCTACCTCGGACACGGAGGACACTACTCTGGTAAAAAACAATAAAAATTCCCTCCAGTTGGTTCAAGCGAATTTATTTTCAATCGATCTTTTTTTAGTATTCTCAGCCGCAGTAAATTAGTTTGACGAATTAACAAAATAAAGTAAACTGACGCGAAATTTATATCGGCTTGCGAACAATCAATCAATTTTAATGGTTGTTTTTTCTGGTAATAAGATTAAATCGATTTTAAATATATTTAATAATAAATTAAATTAAATCGAATAAATTTTTTTAATAGCATTTAATCCGTCTTATTTATCAGGGCTTCATGGCTACGGTGTTCATGGACTCCACGGTATTCACGGACTTCACGGTCTCCATGGGCTTCACGGTCTTCACGGCCTCCATGGGCTTCACGGTGTTCACGGACTCCACGGTCTCCATGGGCTGCACGGACACGGGCACCAGCTGTACGGGCACTATGGTGCTCCCGTGCATTATCACTCACAGCCCAGTGGTTGGAGCAAATCCAAGCGTAGCGAAAACAGCGTCCCCAAAGACGAGGAGAGCGAATGACGCCGGAATTTGTCGTTTCAGCTCGACTTGGAGAGAACGACAGCTGTTATTATCCTCGCTAAGAAATCTTTGACTTCCCGACTCGCAACGTTCACTGTTTATGCGCCAAGGGGAAGATAGCACTTTGTGCGACAAAGATTACTTTTGCATATACAACTGTTACAATAGTGATGGTAATAATAATAATATTAATAAAATTATACACTACAAGTATAGGATTATGATGAGGATGATGATGATAATCATCGTAGTCGGTTGTTTAATAAAAAATAGCTCGTAAAAAAATTGAAAGCGTGTATTTTTTTATACTCTAAAAGATTTGATTTTTTTTTTTTTGTTTCGCATAAAAATCTATTGCACAATTTGCATGAAAAGATATGTCATTAAGTAAACAAGAATAAACTGGAAAAACAGCTAGCGCTAGCGCTTCAAAACCTCTGTTCAATATTATTAAAAATATATTTATATAAATATACTCACACACATGAATGTGTAGATTCATATTTTTCAATTGTCAAATATAATCTTATATGTATATAAACGTATATATCTAACGCGGTTTCAGGCAGGAGCTTGCACCATCGATGCAGCAATAATTTCACCTGATAACATGCTATGCTTATTTTCGATTCAAGTCTTGTTATGCAAAATATCGTCGTACATTTATGAATGGAAGAAAAAAGATGTCACGAAAAGTCTTGACGAAACGTTCTTCTACTTTCATCCATTGTGAAAATGAATTTTTGGACAAATGACGAGGAGGAACAATTTATTTCGTTTTCGCAGCAGCAGGTCTTGGTCGGAGATTTTTCTTTGCCCCTTGATCTGAGTCGGCATCATCTTCGGAACCACCAGATTTCTTGTTTACTGTTTTTAATAAACCAAAATATAATTCAATTATTCAATCTCTTAACAAAAATGAATCAAGAATAATTGAGAGACTAACCTTCTTTTTTCTTGGGTTTTTGTTTAATTACTTTAGCTTTTTGAACTGGAGGCTCGATTTCTTTTGAACGTTTACGCTGGTACTTTAAGAAAATGTATGCCAAATAAAGTTGGAATAAAACAACGGCTCCAAACGCAGAAAATCGAACGGGCGGAATGTTGAAGTGTCCTTCATTAACGCTTAAAACTCCTTCAAACTGTCCCAAACCATAAATAAAAACAAGGGCTGCAGTTAAAACCGACAAAATTCTAGCAGCAACGTACACCGTGTTGGCCAACATAAATGCCGCTGTAAGTAATGGGAAATATTAAAAAAAAAATTTTTTTTGTCGTATTATAATACTTTTTACAAACACATTTATAATGATTATAATAAATAATGAATAATTCACCTTTGGATGACTTTTCTTTTTGATCCACAAAATGAATCAGTTTAGCACTATGTGTGAGACCTTCCCCAGCATGATGAAGAACTATTAAAACGAGGGCAACTTGTTGGAAACTAAAATATTTGACAGATTAAGACTTAACGTGATTTGAAAATAAGTTAACATCAAGAAAAATCGTAATTCATACTTTAAAATGTAAGCAGCAGTTGTAAATACTAAGCCAATAGTTGCTTGAACAATTCTACTGGGAATTTCTTCTCTCTTAGCTCTTTGGAAGTACAATTCTGGATAACAATGAAACCAATAGGCCAATTGACCAATGAAAAATAATTTAAGAGAAAACGACATTGGAGCTGGATAATCACTCCACAGTAGAGATACATTGGGAATAAAGTTTTCTCTGAAATATAAAAATGTAAAAATTAAAATTGGTTAACAAAAAAGCCATTATTAGTAATAAAATCAACTGAGTATTAACCTTATAATGATGTCAATCCCCCAAATCACAGAAATAGCATAAAAGACAGCTAACTGGCTCGACTCATTGAATTTAGATAGCTTACTTTTGCTCAGTTTGAGGCGTTTTGATATTTTCTATAAAAATTGTAGTTATACAAGACAAACTTTTTATCTAATACGTAATTAAATAAACATAATAGCAGCAATCCCAGGTGGAACTTACATCAAAAAAGTATTCTTGAATAACAGCATGCAAGATAACTGTGATGAGAAAATAAAAGAAAACTGCACAAGCGTCCTTCCATCCAGTTGTATACTTGGTTGGCTGAGGAGGCAATGTACCATCGATTGAAATCAGAGATGTAGCATTGTGGTGAAGAGCAATGAAGGTGTAGGCCCATGGTGATGTCGCCTATTGGAACAATAGTTGAATTAAAATTTTGACAAAAACTGTTAACAAATTGATTATCATCATCAACGATGATCTTATCTCAAAATTGCAACGAAATTTGGCAAGTAATTAAAGAACTATCGTAGTTTGTGACACTAACATATGGCAACAGCTGATAACAGCAGCAGCCATAAATAGTCCACAAAGTCATTTGTTAAAATGTATGGTAAGTCAAGAATACACTGTTAATAGGTCATTTTGTAAACACAACGTTAGAAAAACATAAACGTAAATAGTAATAACGAGAGCAAAGGTATCGAATCTCTTGAAAAAAATGGGAGATTTTCTCTCGCAGACGAGCCGTTATTGGAGCACATACATGGGTATACTTAGTTAAAAAAAAGCAAACGATTGTTATTCGGCCGACCCGGTACAATTCGAAAAATAGAGCACGGTGGTGATGGTGGTTGTCATAAGCATACCTGAACCATAAGACCAACGACGAAGACCATCGCCACGCAGGAAAAAATGTCCGCATGATTTTGGATGACGAACTCGTGGCTGAGAATCGGCGGGTTCTTGTTGGAGCTCTTCCTGCCCTTGACCGCGACCATACTGGCGTAGTCGTGTCCTGGGAGAATAAAAAAGCACAGTGGACTGAACCCTGTACTCTCCCTCACACTGCTGGTGCGTGACTGCTAGGATTAACGGCACACTGCTGCTGCTTCTTCTTCTCTGGGGCTCGGAAATCTCGGAATATCTTGGATTTAAACACTCTTAGCTCAGTGCCCGCTGCCGCCACACTCTGATGTGACGATCGGATAATACTTATCGGGTAATGAAGTATCGGCCACAGTGCAAGATCGGCTTATATAGCGTGAAAGATGCCACGCCACCACTTTATATATGTATATATACATCAGGACCGCACGAGATACACGTAAATTCTGAGACGTTCCTCGCAAGGCTCCCAGATTTTAGGGAGTTCGCCGCATGCGCAGTGCGCAATCACCTATCACCTTATCACCGGGTGATCACTGGCAGTGCTTGAGTGCTGCTGCCAAACGCATGCGCGCTAACTCAAAACGAACACTCGTCAGCGCTCTCAAAAGTGACTGCCAAACTTGCGGGAAATTCAAATTGGCTATATGGAGCAAGACGCAAAACCCCAGATAACTCGACAACATTCCATACACCATAACTTGATAAATTAATCCTAAGCTATTTAACCCAATAACCCAACGCGCCCAAAAGCACATCACAAGCTTGAATAATCAATAAAATACATTAAACAATAACGCAAGCGCCAATCCCCGCACAACCCGGGGCGCTTTCTGGTTTCTTTGTTAATTGATAAAATAAATAAAGTAGAGCCAGCGCCAATCCCCGCACAACCCGGGGCGCTTTCTGGTCGCTTTAATTATTTATAATAAATAAAACAATAACACAATTGTCAATCTCCACACAACCCAGGGCGCTTACTGATTGCATTATTTGTTTGAAAAAAGCATCAAATGATAAAAAAAAAGTCAAGCACCAATCAGGCGCAACTAGAGAGTTCTCTTTATAGTTTGGTGATGGGCATTCGTGTTATTACTTCATAAATTTCATTAATTTTCAAAATGATCAGCTAGCGCCTCGGATTGTGTGGGGATTGGCGCTTGCTCTACTTTATTTATTTTATTAATAATTAAAGCGACCAGAAAGCGCCCCGGGTTGTGCGGGGATTGGCGCTTGCGTTATTGTTGAATGTATTTTATTAATTATTAATGCTCGTGATACTGCTTATGGGCGCGTTGGGTTATTGGATTAAATAGCTTAGGACTAATTTATCAAGTTATGGTGTATGGAATTTTGTCGAGTTATCTGGGGTTTTGCGTCTTGCTCCATATAGCCAATTTGAATTTCCCGCAAGTTTGGCAGTCACTTTTGAGAGCGCTGTCGTGCACTCGGTCACTCGGTGCACTCGTGCGCTCGTGCGTTCGTTCGTTTCCCTCCCCTCCCGCTTCTATAGACGCCTAGGCGAGAGCACTGGTGCGAACTTCACTTTACGTGGACGTACTTTTGAAAAAGTAGCGTTTTTCTTTTAAATTCCTAACCTTATATCCACGTAATTACGTGGATTTGGTGCGAATAGACACAGCGTTAAATGTACCGCCCTATGCAACAATTAACTTTGAACACAAGTAGTGTACCAGTATTAACAGGAATTGAAAGTAATCTTATTCTTTATTATGTTTGTTTGTTTCTGTTTTTTTTTATTTTTAATAAAACTGACTTTTTATTTCTAGAATGGTGTAAGCAGTATAACGAGTCTATAGAAAATGAGTCTAAGACCAAAGAAATAATTAACCAATGCTTAATTAACTTTGACAAGAAAAAGGAACAAGAAAAAGATCAAGAAAAAATGCTTGAAGAGGTAGATAGTGATGGGTGGACAACTGTAACTAGTAAAAAAAAGAGAGGAAAGTTGGCTGTCGCTAGAAAGGAATCAACATTCAAAAAAATTCATGCCAAGGAAGAAATTAAGAAACCTAAAAGAGAGCTGTTGAACTTTTATACTTTCCAAATTAGAGAAGCTAAGAAAGAACGTAAGTAAAAAAACGAGTCACTTGAAGAAAAAAGTTAGTTTTTTTTCAATATTTAAAATATTTATTCTTCTTAATTACAGGTCTAGCAGAACTCCGTAAGAAATTTGAATTAGATAAGAAAAAACTAGAACAAATTAAAGCTAAAAGAAATTTCAAACCTTTTTGAATATTTATAAATATAAGTTGTAAAATAACTATTGTATTGTTTTGTAAATAAATTTATGGATAAACGATTATTTGTTTATGTACAAATTTACCAATTTACAATGGAGGACTGTTTGATATTTATGCAGCTTTAGATGTGTATGTTTGAAGGGTCCATTCAATTAAAAAGTGCTGATAAGCAAGTGGCTGTAGGAGAGCAAGCAACTCCTCTGTAAATAATTATCATTTTACTTTCAAAATAAAATTTTCAAGGTTTATCAAGAAACAGAAAAAAATAGCCTTTAAAACACTTACGCTTATTCCCATATATACAGTTGGCAGACATTGCAGAACTTACTGACTGAGCAAGCCTTTCCATAGCGAGATCTTTGCAAACAGTTTCCAATTCAGCATTATCCTGTAACGTATCTGTCAACGCTCGAGTAGTTGACGCTAAATGTTGGGCGGAAATTGCGTGCTTGTTGCTCTCATTATTTTTTAATCTCAATACGGCGTCCATCAACAACTGTTGTATTTTCGAATAACACTTTTGTTGTTCTTCCTTATCTGCACTTTCTTTCGGTATCCTCAGTGGACTTAATATACACCACCTATAAAAATTACCATGATAAAGAAAAGGAATTTTAATATTTTGTTAAAATAAGTGAACATGTACTACCTAAAGAGGCCTGCTATCGGTGTTATTGGAGTCATGGGAATGCTACCAGTAGGAAGTGCAGGATTATCCGTTAGAGAAGTTAGTAGCAGGCTAGAATTATCATTGATCCAGTCACCCACTAATTGTAACAGTTCTATAGGTGGATTTGTATCTTTGTAAACTTCACCAATTGCTGTTAATAAATTAGCAGTAAAATGTGGAACCAAATTAGGAAGCGGTTTGAGCCTCACTGCTGAATCAGGTATAAGAACAAAGTAATCATTTATTAGGTGCTTTGCCAAGCCCACGCACTGCGTCGAGGTAGAGCCCAACTGTTGCATCCAGATACCTGCAGCATTTAGAACGGCTTTTTGCTGCATGGCTATGCTCAAAGAAACCAGATTTCCCAAAATTTTGAGCCTCTGAGTTTCCGCTGGAAAAAGTGACAAGAAAACCGCATTCCTCACAGCAGGACTTCCACCAGGACTTTCAAAGAAATCAATAAAAACATCGATCAATATTAATTCTTGTATCGCATGAGGCACGTTACGTTTTTTTCGCCTGTCTATTTCTCCGAAAACAAATTCTGACATCAGCTCCGATTGAAGATCCATTTGTTTTCCTGACCTGCCGCACAGCATTTCTAAAATTCAACATCAAGCTCAACGAAAATCATATACTCAAAAAGTTAGTAAATAATGGTAAATAAATTAATATTGACGAACCTATTCGACATAGCGCCTCTTTCGCATTTACCGGAAAATCCAATTTTCTCAATGATTGCTTTATTTCACCCGCAGACATAGCGCTCATTTATTACGACTAATCAATAAACAATAAACGTTTTGCACAACGAAACTCTGCTGAATCAAAAAATATCAAAACAAACCTCGGACACTCTCGGGAGCAAGGAGTTTGACACAAAACACACGCCAGTGGTACCAGCACACACGTGCTCTCGCGCGATTGATAAAATGTGCTCGCAATGTTGTCAACTTGTCAACTTTGGCCTTTCCGCATACTTCTCGCTTCAAAGAGTGAGATAGCATCAGTAGCACTACACTGTATTACTGTATAGCACAACAGCAGCAGTAGACTCTATTATATAGTCACAGTAGAGTGAAGAAATGGAGAGTTGCTGGGTAAAGATGGATTCTTGAGAGAGCAGGGAGGAAAAAAAAACAGCAATACGCATACCCACGATCTGCCCAAAGCGACGAGGAGGCGAGGACGACGAGGTGGTGGTGTTACCAGGTTCCTGAGGAAGTCGTCCGAGCAAACCAGAAACCAAAATGATTGTACAGGAGCCAGTGCAAGTAAGCATCGTCAACCTTATTTGCGATTTCGCGAGTAGCTTTTATCATTACGTATATCTATACCAATCGGATCTATAGGTATAATAGAGGTAAATTGATTACTTATCATTGCGACAACATGGACAAGTGCATCAGCACAGCATTTGCTTACTCATAAGTTCGATCTCTCCCTTACTTATACTTTCCACCCTGATGATGATGATGATCAGCCCGTCTGCCTCGCGGCTCACGGATTATTTGCTCATCTTTGTTAATGCATATATACTTGCTTGAAATATATAAATCACGAATTTCATGCTGAAACAGAAGACGTACTTACAACAGAAATGATAAAAGTACTCTTCTGCAATGACTTTTAGTGCTTTTGTATTTTTGTGCTGCATCTCGTATAATTTTATTTACAATGTATTTGCAAAATAAAAATAAAAATTAGTACATCTACAAGCCTTGCAACACATCGAGAAATTTATGTTCAAAGCGTAAATTGAGTAGAGAAAGTAAAATAAGTACTTGTTGCTGGAAATTTTCTAATATCTTAGAGATACATTGGCACTATGTGCGTCAAATAACTGAATGAAAAATATTTTACTTTTAGGCAGCCATATGGCATTGCTTGAATCACTATGCTTACCCGGATGCAATATTCCTTGCAGAAAGACTTTTTTCCGAAGGTAGGTTGAATGATTTTTCATTGCATTGAACATCAAGTACTAAATCCTCGGTGTTCCATTCGTAGTGGACAATGAAGAAACACTTTTTCTACTAGCAACTTGTTATTATCGTTCTGGTAAAGTAAGGCAAGCACAGGGATTGCTGTCAAAGAGATCTCTAAGCTCACCTCAATGTAGATTTCTGCTAGCCAAATGTTGCTACGATTTGGAAAAATATGCAGAAGCAGAAGCAGCCATTATTGGTGGCTATTTCAAGCAGTTGAAAAACTTTGATGAAATCGTTGCCCAGTTTGGGGATGAAGCTTGCTTTTGTCTGCAAATTTTAGCCAAAGTATGTTACAAAATGACAAGGACTGCAAAAGGAAACGAAGCTCACAAACTGGCCTTAAAGTTAAATCCCTTCTTGTGGCATTCTTTCGAAGAATTATGTAACACAGGCGAAAAAGTTGATGCAGGAAAAATATTTCAGTTGGATAAATTAGATAGTTTATCGACGTGTATTGGTAGTGCACCCATCACGTTAAATATTCAAGAGCCAGAATTAATCGTGCCTAATACCAGTGCTCCCAACACTCCAACGTCATACAACTTAAATATGTGAGTATTCAGTTTTCATTGTGTATTGTGGATTGATGAAATACTAGAAAACAAAGCTTTAAAACTATTTTTAGAACACCAATTCAGGGGCCAAATAATATCAGACTGCACTCTTCGATAGACGAAAGTCCACAAAATTTAATTACAAATTATAATAGTTGCTCAACTATTTCGCCTCGCGCGAAACCGCCACGTTTTCGAAGTATGTTTAGTAGTTCAATGAGTCCTTTGACGCCCAGTTTTGGAGTTCTACCTTTGGACATGAACACGCCAGAGCCTCCACTTTTAACTAATCACTCGACACTCACAGAAGCAAATGACCAGAAAGGCTTGGCTAAACGCGTTAGTAGTTTAAAAGCCCATGTTGGGGTAAGATTAACTTGTCAATTGACATTAGTCACAAATTTTCTAATTCATAAAGTTTATTTTTTCTGTTTGCAGCAATTAATTTCACGAAAAGAAACTCCATTGCAACAAGGAAAGCTAGTATTCTCACAGTCTGGAAATACCAGTAATACCGCAAATATTACTGTTACTCCAACCACACCTATTCCCTCTCAACCAACTCTTCAAGGTCTTAACGTTAGAAGGTCATCAAGACTTTTTAGTCACAGTTATTCAGTAAAGGTGGGTCATAATTATGTACTTGATAATAATAAATTAATGGAGAATCTGGATTATTATATTTTCTCAAACTCTAGGAAAATAACAAATCTCCAAACAGAAGTAAATTTGCTACTCCAAAATCACCGCTAAGAAAAAATAAAACAAGACTGGCAAAGAATAATCTTAAGACTAGTTTTAACGAAATAAATGAAAAAAATAAAAATGAGAAGGAAAAAAGTGAGACTATCACGTCGGAAAAAATTGTAGCCAACACTAATGCGTTAAATCAAAGTAACAGTGCAGCACTCACAAGTCCAGTATCTATTCAGAAACATTCAGCAGGTACATGCGTTTTTTAACACGCTTTGTTAAATCAATTTTAATACATGTATAGATTTTTTTTTTTCTTCAAATCAATAGAGGGTTTAATGTCTTTGCTACGACAACTCGGAACGGCATATCAAAATTTGTGTCAATTCAATTGCACGGAAGTAGTTGAAATATTGACTGCATTGCCAGGCCAACATTATAACACTGGCTGGGTCTTGTCCATGTTAGCTAAAGCACATTTTGAAATGATTGATTATAAAAAGGCGGCCAGGTAAAATAGCTTCTCGCAATTTGAGACCAATTGGTATTGAGTTGTCATAGTTTTCTTATCCAAATGTTTGTTGTAGCTATTTTTCACAAGTGAGAACTTTAGAACCTCACAGAACTGAGTTAATGGAAATATACAGTACAACATTGTGGCACTTACCAGCTGAAGTGCAACTTTCGACGTTAGCCCAAGATCTTGTTGCTGAAGATCGAAATACAGCTGCAACGTGGTGCGCTGTTGGAAATTTATTTTCCGCACAAACTGAACATGAAACTGCTATTAAATTCTTGCATCGAGCTATTCAAGTAAGTGTTTATATTTTAGAGCGTCTAATAATACCTGCGTAATTAACACATCTTACATCCATTTTTTTTAGGTCAATCCAAATTTTCCGTATGCACACAATCTTCTGGGTCACGAGTACGTTATTACTGAAGAGCTTGACAAGGCAATGACAGCTTTTAGAAATGCCATAAGGCTTGATCCACGGCATTACAATGCCTGGTTTGGCCTGGGTACTATTTTCGCAAAACAAGAACTCTTCACTTTGGCAGAGTTACACTTCAAAAGGGCCTTGGATATAAATCCTCACAATTCCACGATAAAGTGTCACATTGGAGTCGTGCAGAATGCTCTAAAGAAGGTTGATCAGGCTTTGCAAACTCTGAACAAAGCAATTGAAGCCGATCCCAATAATACACTTTGCAAATTCCATCGTGCAAGTATTAATTTTAACAGTGGCAGACACGCGGAAGCGCTTGTTGAATTTGAAGAACTGAAAAATATTGCACCCAAAGAATCGCTAGTCTATTTTTCGATAGGAAATGTGAGTAATGTTAAACTTTATAAAAATTACATCAGTTTTTTTTTTTATATAATATGATCGTCAATAATTGCGCATATTTCAGATTCATAAAAAATTAGGCAATACTCATCTTGCATTGATGTACTTCAATTGGGCCACAGATTTAGATCCGAAAGGTATTAATAGTCAAATAAAGGAAGCTATCTTAAGCCCAGGACAAAATGAAGACGAGTCTCTTGTAACTCAATCTGGTAAATAAAAATTTTTCAAAATCACTTAATTGCACAATTAAAACATATTTACCGTATTTACATTTTTTTTTTTCATCAGATGAACCAGTGCAACAAAGTTCCACCGAAGGTGAAGCTAGCCGAGAAGCAAGCGGGGAAGGGAGTAATGTTGCTGCTAATGCAACTATTGAGACGAATGCAGAAGATAGCGATGATAGCTTATGAAGATTCAAATTAGTTAAAGTACTGAAATTTTTGAGTGATATGATGATGTATGCCGTGTTAGTGTATGACATGACAGTGACAAAGAACAAAACCTGGACATTTTTAATGAAAAATTAACTACTTTACATTGATACATTGTGCTGCCTTTTACGACTCAAGTGAATAACAAGAAGTCAACGTCTGATTTTCTTTAGTATTTGTTTAATTTAATTTGTCCAAGTGATAGATGACATTAAAAAATACAAACGTGTAAGAAAAGGCGAAACCAAAAAAAAAAGAAAAAAAAGAAAAAAAAGAAAAAAAGAAAGAAAGTACAGTCGAGTGATTTCAATTAAGTGGTTAGATGAGACAGAGACTTTTGTTATTGTAAATTATTGTGTTATTGATGATCTATATTATTTTATGTGTCGAGTGATTCTGGCAAATCTCGTTTAAGAGACCAGTCGGATAATGCAATTTTCCTTATTGGGAGCTGTAGAATTGACAGAGTTAATTTTAAGCTGCATCCGATGGAGGAGCTGCGTTTTGTGTAAAAATGTTGAGAGCAATTCAATGGAAAGAAATGAATGTAAATTGCAGATACGAGTAAAAAAATAAGGATGCAAAATATATATATTAATTCCTATTGAAAAGCTTTTGATAGCATATATCTTCATACAATGTGCCGAACAAAAACAAGTGAAAAGATTCCCATATCTGCATGATGAACTGTACAACAAAGCTTTGTTGCATTACTCAAACGCTAAGTAATTTTACATCCGATAATTTAATACAAAAAAAAAGGTAAAGCTTGTTTAACCAAAACCGTGAACCCTTTTTATAACAATTCCTTGAACTTACCTTTGAATGATCGTGTAAATGTATATGCTCACAGACTCACACACACATACGCGTAAACGTATACCTTAATATTGAAGCCATAACGTAAAACTTAATCGTGGTTTAAAAAGTTAACTGTAAGCATCAAACAATTTATTTCTTTAACATACTGAAAGCATTTATACCTAACTCCACAAGATTAAAAGCTTGGTAAATGTAGTTAATGTAAAAATTCATGAACAAAAAATTTATACATTTTTTTCGTACGACCTCGATGCAGAATCACGACTTAAGAAATGAAAAAAATCAATCAATTTTAAATTCCGAGTAAACAATGATGTAGAGAAAAAAAATTTTTTTTCCATGTTTACGACAGAATTTTGTGTCAAGAGTATATAGCGAAATATACTCGCTGGGAATACGAATCTGTGCAATGTTCAAAACGAGGCAGAACAAATTTCATTTTAACGCTACGCTAATAATCTTTGAACATCAATGCGATTTCCTTTTGTACAGGGGTGTAATACCCATTCGTATATGTAACATAAAAACTTGTGATATAAATATATACATATATCATAAAAATAATATTTTGCTTCAAGTTTTGATAAACTTTATTTGATATCAACATAAAATATACTAACTCCTAAAACATTTTTTTTTCAAATTTCTTTTCACATATGTATATTTGCCATCTTTTTTACATTTCTTCTCAAACTACTCGCAAAACAAGTGCTTTTTTTTTGAGCGTTTTAGTTGTATAGAACCAGCTAAGCTTAGATCGAACTAAACTTAAAAGTTATCGCAAATCGTTAGAATCACCAGGTGGATAAACAGTTTCCTGACCGACAAATCAGAATATTTATAAAAAAAAAAACAAATTTATTTAAATTCGTGGTTAAACCCATATAGTATCCATATAGTAGCAATAAATACACGCGCCGTATTTACAATGTGATACGGGTGGCTTCCACACTCATACTACGATGCCACGTTATGACCTTGCTCGCTTCGTTACAATCAATGTGTTATAAACATGAAAGCCGTCCGAGCAAGCTGCTGAGTAATTGAGTAGACAGTATATTCGGTTGAATGAGAGTATAAATTATATAGGTACATCTCTCTAGGGAAAAATGAGTGGAATCGTCGAAACTGGTAAATCTATTGATTTATTTATTTATTTATTTATTTTTTTTTTTTTTTTTCTTTTTCTTAAAATAAACGTTTCACATTTTCAACGATATCGTATTTTCTCTCTTTTCTCTCGCAAAGTTTTGGGCCAAGTGAGGAGCTCCGAGCTCGGCAGGGTGTTGACTCACGAGCACTTGGCTCTGGATTTCGACAAATTTTACGCGCCGACGCCAAAACTTTTGCAAAACCTCGTCAGTGGACACATCAACCTGGCCAACGTCGGTGTTATCAAACAATACCCGTAAGTACTAGTACATCATGCTACATAGGAAAATATATTTGACAAAAAATGTCAAATCGAGGATAACGTGTTTAATACATGTATGTATAGCTACGGCTGCAAGTACAACATCAGATTCAACGATGACGACAGTGCAGCAGCTGTGCTGGAAGACGTGGGCTTTTACAAGAAAAGCGGGGGCGGTACGATCGTCGAGAACACGAGTCACGGCATAAAGCGAGATATCCCGCTGATGCGAAGTGTCAGCGAAAAAACTGGGGTACACGTGATTGCCGGCACTGGTGCGTCAAGTTGCATGAATATTTTACGGGGAAGGAATTAAGCTTAAAACTACCCTTATTTTTTTTTTTGACATCACGCTTTGGGATGAACCATAAAAAAATAAAATAGATGTAAAAAAACAAATGCCATTTACTGTAGGAAAAAAAAAGTGAGTTTTTTCCAGCTAATCTTACTTCTAGTTGGTTTGGTTGTGATATGAGAAAACGATGTGATATCCCAAACTACTCATATGTATAATAAAGTGAATTGGCAGTAGGACACGCTTGATCATCCCCCACTGAAGAAAGATATTGGCGGTTAAAAAAAAAAAAACCAATTTTTTTGTCCCAAAAAGGCCATTACGTAGCTCTCACTCAAAACGACAGCGTTTTAAAATCGACGGAGGAACAGCTGTACGACGTGGCGATGAAAGAATTGACGGTGGGCTGCGACGAGGATCCATCGGTGAAGGCGGGCTTCATCGGCGAAGTCGGGAGTTCCTGGCCCATCGAAGGTATACATTGGTAAAATATAAATATCGATGTACTATGTGTACAACCTGTGCGTGTTGTAAAAAAAAAAAAAAAAAAAAAAAAACGGTACCTCCTTCTTTGTTGAAAGGAATGTGGAAAAAAAAAAAAAAAAAAAAAAAACTTACGATTTGAAAGATTTCGAGAAGAGAGCCATACGAGCCACGGCACGCGTGCAAGAGCAGCTCAAGTGCCCGGTGAGCTTTCACCCCGGCAGGGACGCCGCGGCCCCGTTCGAAATTATGAGAATCTTCACGGAAGCCGGGGGCAGTGCCACGAAGGCCGTCATGTCGCACCTCGACCGTACGAAATAATAACAATAATAATGTATTACCATCGTAATATACTTGTGTGTGTAGCTGAAATAATGTACAATGTATTTTATATTTTTTCGCGGAAGGAACGTTGCTGAGGGACGAGGAGGTTTTAAATTTCGCCGAATTGGGCTCGTACTTACAGTACGATCTTTTTGGGACCGAGTGCTCGCACTACCAGTTGCACGAGTCCACGGATATGCCCTCGGACGCCCAACGCCTCGACAAAATGCTGTTGATCAGGGAGGACGGGAGGTTGGATAAGTTGCTGATGAGCCACGATATACACACCAAACATCGCCTGGTACAACTGACCATATATATAATTAATTTGCCGGTTGGTTTTTTTTTTTTTTTTACGACATAATCGTTCGTTGCAGATGAACTTTGGCGGTCACGGGTACGCTCACATACTGAACAACGTTGTTCCGAAAATGCTGATCAAAGGATTCACGGAGCAAGACATTGACGCCATTACCATAACGAATCCGAAAAATTGGCTCTCGCAGTGATCCCATCGCGTATATAAGTATACTTGAAATAATGCAAACGATAGTATTAATCTATATTTTACCAAATAAAATTATTGACATAAAGAAAACAACGTTTTTTTCTTTTTCCCTTTCGTAATTAGAAAAATTTACCTGCCGTTGCTGCAGAAAATCGTTTTTGGTTTTGACGTTCATTTTTTACATTTACAGGTATATATAGCATTACTTTTTATGAATTATAGTTGTTACAAACACGCTCGCGTGTCTTAATGTGTAGGTACAGTAAGAATCCAACAATCGTTACAGATTCAAATGCATCGATCGATCGTTTGACACAGTGAACGTACAACTAGTGGTAACAAACAGAGTACACCCGCTCCCTTAACGACGAGCTCATACAGTCAGCACCTACGTAGCATAAATAAGTGTACACACAAATAGCAGCGTAAATTTTAGTTGGCTGTCTAAGTATATAATACTCGTACTCGTGCAAAAAAACAACGCGTTCTCGAATCACTATACTCATTTGACAAAACTGCATGGAATTTAACGAGCGTCGAAACACCGTGTGCTATAATATAATATATAATGCTTGGTAAAAATGGAAAAGTAACGCGCAGTAACGTTAAATAGTGCAATTCGCAAAATACTTGCCCGTAAGGACCACACACGCGGAAGTAGCGAAGTTTTATGTTTGACCGATAAAAAAGTGTTAAGTGATTCTCTGTAGCTTTGAATTGTTAATGTAAAAAAGTAAAATTATTTATTCACTCTGTCGGACAGTGACAACATATACAGTTTGCGTGTGAAACAATATATACGCTTTGAAGTTGCTTTAACGAATCAATTTTATTCGCATAGATGGATAGATAGTGTACAGAAGGTGTACATTTTGCTACGTGAACGCGCTACGTAATACAACATACGTGAACGGTTGCTGGTGCTTTACATGGCAAAATATCGATTCCAGGACAACGCGGGGAGATCGACCGATGGACATTGGCAACTAATAGCGCCTTTGAGCCACATAACAGTTTTGCGATGAAAGGCACCAAGAGCGCTTATTTAACGGAGAAATGGTAGCGATGATCGTGCTTTTCGTCGCGAGTTTGTTCTCCCTTCGTTACTCGGACGCGAAAATTTTGACCGGCCAACTGATAACGCATCAAGTACACATACACAATTCATACATATATACGTGCATGTCTGATGGCTTACAAAAAAATGTCATGGGTTTAAATGTGAAATTTTCAGAACTGGGCCTTTTTAGCTAGGTTCTGCTTCCTCTCGGACAAGGGAAAGTTCAAGTATGACTTGACCATTCGGGACAAGGACACGGAAGCAAATTTGCTCCTGTACTACGACAGCCCGTCCCAGTGGCCGAGCGTGTACCCGTCCAACAAAACTTGCCCGGAGCGCGAGGCCGTTCTCAGACGGGACCTCGGCCAGATAGTGTCGTTGTCGCCGTACTCGGCGTACACCGAGATCTCGGGCTGTGAGTTCGAGAGGAACAGTCGGGCCGAGGTCCACTGCAAGAGTTACCGGGAGTTTCGGTCCTCGAGGCCGAGGTGGTGGTTCATAGCCATTTCCGACTGTCACACAGACAAGGGCTTGAACATCTCTTACTGGATATCCTTGACGAACGCCGAGCCCGGCAGCTTTTGGCGCGAGCACTTTTCGGCCGACGAATTTTGTCGGTATTCGTTTTCAACCACGACTGGCACTTATTTGCTAGAGCAACAAGTGTATAAACTCATACTTTTAAATTGCCTGTATTTGGAGCGAGGAAAGATTTCAATTCTCAATTACAAGTTTTCACATTACACGTGTATAATATTATTATACACTTTTTGCTCTATACGCATCAGTCGTGCCTTATATAGTCTTTTTGATGAATTTAGCCACTTGTTTTTTAATTTGCACAACTTGGTTTTTGCAGATATTTTGCCGGAACTCATGATTGCGACTTGCATTTACACGTTGTTGGTGGGTTTTAGTATTTACGTGGCAATTCAATTGCGAACGAGAAAACTATTGCACGTGACGTACAAGATGTTCATGATATCCCTGGTGGCACAGCTCTGTGGACTCATGTGCGAGTTGTACAGTTATATAAACAGAGCCATAAAGGGACACGATTTGCGAGGATTTACTTTGCTTGGGAATTTATTCGAGGCCTGCTCCGAGACTTCGTTCACGACTCTCTTGTTATTGATGTCCCTAGGTTTTACGGTGACCAAAAGTCTGCTGAATCCAATCGAAGTTTGGAGACTGAGCACTTTCATCGGAATAACTATATCCATGCAGATATTGTTGTTCATTTATGAGTCGGAAGCATTCGACCCGGGGCTAATTTTGTACATCTATGAATCTCCTCCAGGGTGGGCGTTGCTGGCTTTAAAAGTTTGGGCTTGGGTTGTTTTTGTCATTTGTTGCTACAAAACAAGTCAGCTTTATTCAACGAAATTTCATTTTTATGGATCACTCTTGTCTCTTGGTTCAGGATGGTTTCTGTGTCAGCCGTTGACGGTACGTTTTATACTTTTTTTTTTCTTACAATTATAAAATTATCAAATAAGAAAACAAAAAAGATTTAATGTTAAAATAAAATATTTAGGTTTTGACTATCACCTTCCTAGTAGACAAATGGGTAAGAGAGAGCGTCGTGAAGGGCTTCTCTCTTTGGATAGTATTCGTAGGCCATGTTACTTTTCTTTATGTAACTAGACCCTCCTCGGCTAATATTAATTTTCCTTTTCATATCAGAACATGTCAAGTAGTTCCTATAGGTGGTCAAGGACAAGGCCACAGTTATGAACCTTATCCTCATCCAGCTATGACGGTTTTCACCCTTTCACATTCCACACCAACAAATTTTAATACTAATACTCAGTAAAAAAAAAAAAAAAAAAAAAAAAAAAAAAAAAAAAAAAAAAAAAAAAAA